GTGGTTTTTATTCATTTTATTCAGGTGGTGTATCACATTTATTGATTTGCAAATATTGTACCAGCCTTGCATCCCTGGGATGAACCCCACTTGGTGAATAATTTTTTTGATGTATTGCTGGATCCGATTTGCTAGTATTTTGTTCAGGATTTTGGCGTCTGTGTTCATCAGGGATATTGGCCTGTAGTTTACTTTCTTTGTAGTGTCTTTTTCTGGTTTTGGAATTAGAATTATGCTGGCTTCATAAAACGAGTTTGGAAGTCTTCCTTCTTCTTGAATTTTTTGAAAAAGTTTGAGGAGAATGGGTGTTAGTTCTTTTTTGAATGTTCGATCAAACTCCCGTGAAGCCATTGGGGTCTGGGCTTTTGTTTGCTGGGAGAGTCTTGATTACATCTTCAATTTCCTTAGTTATTATTGTTCTGTTCAGGTTTTCTATCTCTTCCTGGTCCAGTTTTGGGAGATGATGTGTTTCTAGAAATTTGTCCATTTCACTTAGATTGTCGAATTTGTTGCCATATAATTGTTCATAGTAGTTGTTAACGATCTTTTGTATTTCTGTGGTATCAGTTGTTACTTCTCCTCTTTCATTTCCGATTTTGTGTATTTCGGTTCTCTCTCTTTGTTTCTTGGTGAGTCTACCTAAGGGTCCATCAATCTTGTTTATCTTTTCGAAAAACCAGCTCTTTGTTTCATTAATCCTTTGAATTGTTTGTTTGTTTGTTTGTTATCTCTATGTCATTTATTTCTGCTCTGATTTTTATTTTCTTTCTTCTACTTGCTCTGGGGTTTTCTTTTTGTTTGCTTTCTAGTTCTTTAAGTTGTGAGGTTAGATAGTCTATTAGAGATTTTTCTTGTTTCTTTAGGTAGGCCTGTAGTGCTATGAACTTCCCTCTCAGAACTGCTTTCACTGCATCCCATAGATTGTGTTGTTGTGTGTTCATTTCCATTGGTTTCCAGGAAGTTTTTCATTTCTTCCTTGATCATCTCGGTAACCCAGTCATTGTTCAAATGTCTTTGCGTGTTCTTATTGCAGTTGATTTCTAGTTTCATGCCATTGTGATCTGAGAAGATGCTTGATATGATTCCAATCTTCTTGAACTTGTAGAGATTTAGTTTGTGTCCTAACATGTGGTCTATCTTTGAGAATGTCCCATGTACACTTGAGAAGAATGTGAATTCTGTAGTTTTGGGGTATACTTCTCTGTAGATATCTATTAAATCCATTTGGTCTAGTGCTTCATTTAGAGTCTCTGTTTCCTTGCTAATTTTTTGTCTAGAGGATCTATCCAGTGATGTCAGTGGGTGTTGAAGTCCACTGCTATGATTGTATTGCTGTCAATTTCTCATTTGAAGTCCTCCAGAAGATTTTAAATATATTTTGGTGCTCCTATATTGGGTGCATATATGTTTATCAAGGTTATATCTTCCTGTTGGATAGATCCTTTCAATATTATGTAGTGGCCTTCTTTGTCTCTAGTTATGGCCTTCATTTTGAAATCTATTTTATCAGATATGAGTAGTTGTACCCCAGCTTTTTTTTCCTTTTTGTTTGCTGGGAAGATTTTTTTCCATCCCTTTACTTTCAACCTATGTGAGTCTTTTGTTTTGAGGTGGGTTTCTTGTAAACAACATATAGATGAGTCATGCTTTCTTATCCAATCAGCTACTCTGTATCTTTTTATGGGAGCATTCAGTCCATTTACATTTAAGGTCATTATTGATATGTTCTTATTTATTGCCATTTTTGTTTATTGTGGTTCTATTTTTCTTCCTGTTTCTTCTACTAATTACAGAAGTCCTTTTAACATTTCTTGCAGTGCTGGTTTGGTGCTAATGTATTCCATTAGCCTTTTTTTTTTCTTAGAAGGTTTTTATTTGACCTTCTATTTTGAATGAAAGCCTTGTTGGGTAGAGTAGTCTTGGATTCAGATCCTTGTTTTTCATGACCTTGAATACTTAATGCCATCCCTTCTGGCCTGTAGTGTTTCTGTTGAGAAGTCTGCTGTTAGCCTTATGGGGGTTCCTTTTTAGGTAACCTGTTGCTTATCTCTTGCTGCTTTTAGGATTCTCTCTTTGTCTTTAACTTTTGGCATTTTAATTACTATGTGTCTTAGTGTGGGCCTGTTTGGGTTCTTACTTGGGGCTCTCTGTGCTTCTTGAACTTGAATGCCTTCTTCCTTCACCAAATTAGGGAAGTTTTCTGTCACTATTTCTTCAGATATCTTCTCTAACCCTTGCTCATTGTCTTCTTCTTCTCCGGGGACTCCTATGACGCGAATGTTATTATGTTTCCAGTTGTCCCACAGTTCTCTTAAGCTGTCTTCCTGTTTTTTAATTGTTTTTTTGTTTTGTTTTTATGATTGGTTGATTTTTTTTCTACCCTGTCTTCTAATTCACTGATCCGGTCCTCAGCTTCCTCTACTCAGCTGTTTAGACCTTCCAATGTGTTCTTTATTTCTGATGTGTCATTCTTCATTTCTTCTTGGTGGTTTTTAATTTCCAGTTGGTTGCTTTTCAACATTTCTATGGCTTTACTCATGGTGTTGAGCTTCCTCAAGATCATGGCTCTGAATTCTAGCTCTGTTAACTTGCTTAACTGTTCCTTATTTATCTCATCTTCAGTAGAGGTCTCTTGTTCTTTCATTTGGCATTTGTTTCTTTGTTTCACCATTTTGGCTATCTCAGTGGGCTTTGGAGCCTGCCAAATAATCCCTGTTGGTGTTGGTGTTCTGCTGTTTGTGGCCCCCTCTCCTGGGTTTGGATGAGTGAGGGAGGACCCATGTTAAACACCACTGTCAAGTCTTACTTTCCTGGTTAGACTTGCTAGCCCAGGCATGGTTCAGTTATCCTCTAGCTTTTTGCCTGGAGGCTCTCAGTAGCAGTTACTTGAAGAGTGTTGGGTTCTCGTTGAATGAAAAACTCCCTCAGGTGTTCAGTGTAAGGGGATTTCCTGAGGATGGGGCAGGTGCTGGTTGTTAATGAGCCTCAATTTACATTTCAATGGCGCATCTGGGTCAGGTTGAATCCCTGAGGGAGGGGCCACCGCCTCTCCCCAGAGCCCTGGGAAGGAGTAAGATGGCCATAGTCCTGTGTGGCCACCACTCAGCTAAAGCTCTGAGCGCCCTCGAAATCCCAAGTGTCCCCCACATAGTTACTGCCCTGTCCGCCCTCCCTCTGCCATAACCCAAGGTGAGTGGCTGTGGCTATTTCAGTGTTTGTCCCGGCTCTGTGCTGTGGAGCCGCTTGGTAGTGTAACCCCGAGGGTGCTGCTCACAGCTAAGTCCGCTGCTGTCCTTGGGCTCCCAGCCCCCCTGTCGTGCCCCCACAGTCCTACCAGGATCGAGCTAGTGTTCCTGGTTATATGGTCCTCGCAAGCTGCTTTTCAGTTGCCTTTTCCCAATGATTTGTCTTTATTTTAGACGTAATTCCAGTTTGGTCCTGGGAGACGGTCTGTGTAGCTTTCATTCACTCTGCCGCCATTTTGAAATTCAGTCTATCTTTTAATAATAGTATTTAGTTCACTTATAAGGTTGGATTTAGGGCCATTATTTTACTGTTTGTTATTTTTCCTATTTTGTTTTTGTTTCTCTGTTCTTTTTAAGTTAATTGAATAGCTTTAAAATTTCTTTTAATTTTCCTATTTGCTTTTTAGCTAAAAATATTTGTGATTTTTTTATTTTTTATTTTTTTCTATGTGCCTTTAGCAGGAACCGAACCCAGGACTCTCTGGTCCGCAGGCTGACGTTCCAACCGCTGAGCCAAACCGGCCAGAGCAAAATATTTGTATTTTTTTAATGGTTGCTCTCGGAATTACAGTGTACAACCTTAATGTCGCAGTCTACTTTAAGTTAAAATTATACAACTTTTATATAATGCATAGAAATGTAAGAATATTGTAATATGGTCACCCCTCCCTCATCCTTTATGTTATAACTGCCATATGTACTACATATGTATACATTATAAACCCCATAACAGTGTTATAATTTTTACTTTCAATCATAATATTAAAGAAATAAAGAGGAAAAACTAGTCTTTGATATTTATCTACTGTTTACTGTTTCTGATGCTTTTCATTCTTAATAGGCAAGTTTCTATCTGGTAACACTGCTCTTCAACCTGAAGAAATTCTTTTAGCATTACTTGTAACATGTGTCTGCTCATGACAATTTGTCTTCGCTATTAAAGGGAATTTGGTCGGGGAGGGGGGTGGAATTCCGAATGTACGGTTATAAGAGACTCTGGATTCTGTAAGATTTCCTTTCAAGAGTAGTGTTGTATTTTAATACACAGTTAACTTTGCTGAACTCACTTTTGCAAAGTTCATCTTTCCTATGGTGAACAGCAGCTGAAATCTCAGTTGTTCTTTTTGCCTGAGTTGGGTTGTTTGGGAGTCTGTCCTGCGTGTGCATAATTTAGGGGTCAGTCAGAGGCTTGGGCAGAGTTTATACACAGAATTTAGGAGTGCCTCTTTGTGGCTGTCTTTCTTTCTGGAAACTAAATACAGAATCAAGAAATCAGTCCACATATATATGGTCAGTTGACTTGCAACAAAGATGCAAACGCAACTTAGTGAAGAAAAGATTACCTTTTCAACAAATGGAGTTGAGACAGTCAGATATCCTCATGCCAAAAAGAAAACCAAGAAACTTTTATTTGGATCTCACAGCATATATAAAAATTAACCCAAAGTGGATCAGAGACTTAAATGTAAAACAAAAACTATTTAAAAGAAAAATAAATGATAATCTTTGTGACCTTGGGTTAATCAAAGATTTCTTAGCTACAGCACTTAAAAACATGATCTATAAAAGAAAATTTGATAAACCGGACTTCATCAAATTAAAAACATCTTTTCTTCACAAAACACTATTAAGAGCATAGAAAGATAATCCATTGACTTAGAGAAAATATTTACAAGTTATATATCTGATAATACTTTTATGCAAATTGGAGAAAAATAAATGTACCACATACTCACACATTCTTTATTTTGACAGTCTCTTCAACAGACCACATATAAGAGGTGTCTCGTACTTCCTGTTGCCAGTGACTGGAACACAATGGATCACACAGGGGCACTGGATACTGAGGATGAATTGGGACCTTTAGCACATCTTGCTCCAAGTCCTCAAAGTGAAGCCGTTGCCCACGAATTCCAGGAACTGTCCTTGCAGTCCAGTCAGTACTTACCTCCTCTGAACGAAAGGAAGAATGGTGAGTTCTTCAGCATGTGCAGTGGGGGGCTTTGATTTGAAGACTTACTTCTTTGTGAGCCCAGTTTACTTCTCTTTGGTGATAATTTTTTGGGGGAGGCCAGTTACATTTGGCAGTCCGTCACACAGGAGAGAACCTCATGGGGTACTGCGTGGTTTTGAATAACAGGCAGAATTTTCTTTTACGTCCAATTCTACCATTATTACCCCAGTATCTTTAGTGCAACATTATTTTTGGAAATAAGCTTTAGATTCAACCATTTTAGCTCAAGCAGATGATTTCATGCTAGAATGGTATTGGAAAGTAGCTTCCTGTGCTGATTCCAGGGAAAATAGATTGTGGAATTAAATAGATTCTCCTCCCAATTTCACCACCTTTAATGTGTTGCACCTCAACTTCAGAATTGGCAAAATTTGTGCTGTCTCAGTGATCACTAAGAGAACAAGAATGTTTTATTTGAGTATTTTTTACCTGAATGGGTATTAGATATAGCCATATTTTCAGTCTTTGGTTGGCTCATCCTTGTATCCTAAATGAGTATTTTCTATTTATTTGTAATCTGTTCAGGAAATTTTCATTGATTACAGAGGCATCCCAGAGTTTCCAGAAAACGCAATGCTGCCAATTTTTAACATAAATGAATAGAGAGAGGATATACCTTATTCTTAATACTTAAAACTTAAAAAATAACAAAAAATAAAATATTAAAATTTACAAAGACACTAAGGATGCATATTATAAGTGCAGAATTAAGAATTTGAAGTGGATTTACTGTGTTTTCCTCAGTTCTGACGAGTCTTATATTCACAAATATATATTTTTAACTTCATTTTTAAAAGCCAGAAGAAATATAAAACTGTTTCCCTATAGAACACTTCTATGTACTATCTTGTTAACTTGTTTTTCTGGGTTCTGAGTGTTTCCCAGTTCCTTTAATTATTGGCCTTATCTTATTTAGGAAAATGGATAAAAGATTTTTGCTACTATTCTTAGTTTTTTAATACATGTCTTTGGACTAGAGCTTGTTTTCCCTTCACATAAGATATCTGATGCTTGTTGTTGCACAACCCTTGCAGTTTAATTGGTATACAGTGATATTTTGACTAAGGTGCTGTTAGAGCCTTCCTGTGGCTCTGTTTGACAGATGATGGCTTTAGAACCTAGCTTTATCTTAGTGACTGAGAGAGAACAACCACATTTTCTGAACTAAATGTGAATGGTACACTTGGATCAGTATAATAATGTTCAAATTATTGTCTGCCCAAAAAAAGCTGAGTGGATATAAAATTACTCTAATATACAATTGCTCAAGAAAATGGTCAGGTGTAGCAGAGGAGAGAAGTCAAGTGTATGGAATAAGTTTATAGTCTGTGGGGATTTACTTGATCCAGCTCACCACATTCTCTTGCAAGAATGTTCTCTTGAATATGTATGCCTGAATATAAGGTAAACTCAAATATAAGGTGGTCTCCCCTTATAAACTTTTAGGGAGATAGATGAAATGGTACAAGTTTTAATTTATTAAATTTAAGTCACATTTTATGGAGCAGTGCAATAATGTAGAAGAATTGTTTTATCATCCACCCTCATATTTCATGAAACCATCTTGCTCAAACTCTATCCATGAATCTTTGTGGTGTTTTTATCATCATTAGAACCTCTGCATCACCTATCTAGCATGAAAATCCAGAGTGCATCTTTATTTCTGTCTCTTTTGTTTGAGTTACAACAGTTTTTGAATACATGCATGATCTGACACTGAAGATTTTATGTATAAACCACAAGTACCATTTACAAAACAGTGGCACTGCAGTTTTTTGGTGGTGTTTTTTATGTTTTTTTGTGTGTGTGTTTTTTTTATGTCTTATAGTTGTATATTTATAATCTCTATAACATTACTCATGTTTGATCTGTGATTGGTTATAACATTTTTAGGGCTATAGTTTCTGTTTCTGAATTTAATCCTTTTTTTTGAGTAGTAATACATTGATTCATACAATTAAAAAAAGTAATGGGTACACAGTGAAAAGTAGGTCACCCTCCCAGTCTCATCTTTTAGCTACCCAGTTACTTCACCAGAATTAGCAGCTGTTAACTTGTGTCCTTTCTGAGAGAATACTATTTGATGACTTTTTTAAAAGCATTTTTGAAAGTCTTCTTTGTAACAACATCCAACTCTTTGAATTTTAAGGTTATAACCTTGAAATAATTAATGTATTAATTTTCTTCTTAAACTTTTTTTCTTCTGATTCTATTAAGATATTTCTGTAAATGTCCTAAAACCAGCTTTTAATGAAGTTGATTTAAAATTTTTAAAATTCAATTTATTGGGATGACATTGGTTAATAAAACTTTATAGGTTTCAAGTGTACAGTTCTATAATACTTCATCTGTATATTGCATGTGTGTTTACAACCCAAAGTCAAATCTTCTTCTGTCACCATACATTTGACCCCCTCTACCCTTTACTACCTCTCTCCAGCCCCCTTTCTCTCTGGCAAGTATCATACTGTTGTTTGTGTCTGTGCGTTTTTGTTTGTTTATTTGTCTTATTTGTTCATTTGTTACTTTTAGTTATATATCCCACATATGAGTGAAACACGTGGTTCTTGACTTTTTCTGTCTGATTATTTTGCTTAGTATGGTATTCTCAAGATCCATTTGTGTTGTCAAAAATGGCAGTATTTCATCTTTTCTTATGGCTGAGCAGTATCCCATTGTATATATGTACCACATCTTCTTTATCCAATTATCTATAGAAGGACACTTCAGTTGTTTCCATGTGTTGGCCACTGTGAGTAATGCTGCAGTGAGCATAGGGGTGCATATATCTTTTTTTTTCATTCCTCACCTGAGGATATTCTTCCATTCATCATCAGATAGAGGGAGGAGGGAGAGAGAGAGACTAAGAGAAACATCGATGTGATAGAGCCACATTGACTCTTTGCTTTCCACACGACTGGACCAGGGCCAGGGATGAACCGAAACTGAGGCACGTGCCCTTGACTGGAATCAAACCCATGACTCATTGGTCCCTGGGCCGATGCTCTAATCACTGAATCATACCGGCCAGGACTGCATATATCTTTATGAATAAATGTTTTCAGATTTTTTTGGTAGATACCCACAAGACAGATTGCGGGGTCATGTGGTAACTCTATTTGTAATTTTTTGAGGAACCACCATATTGTTTTCCATAGCCAAAGCATTTTTCTCAAATACTTTTTTGTTTAATATTAAGTAAATGAAAGAGCATATCATAGTATGGGATATTATGGAATGACTCGAATATGAGAGAATCTCTTTTTTTTCTAACATGTGACTTCAGGAATTTAAAATCTTTACCTTATATTTGGGCATATACTCCAATTTTAGGATTATGATATATTAGCCTAATTTACATATACATTACAAAGCATGTATGCAATCCTTGTCCAGGTACAGTATCAGAAATGTAGGTTTTTGATGCAGTTATGTGAGTATAGTAGAACCACATCAAATAATACATAGATGGAAGAACCATAACTTTCTTACCTTAATGATTTTTTTCAAGTTTATTCTTCATTTTTAGGTCTTCTTAATGCTTTGTTTAAATGATACTATATACAAAATGTAGGTATTAGCCTAAAAATTAATACAAAGTACAGTTTAGATATTTTGAGATAATCAGGTTTAGATATTTTCTTGATGATTGTGTTTTGTTATTTCTAAGTATTTGAATTTCACTTGTTAGAATTACTTCTTTTATGGTGAGGGAAAATGAAGACATTTCAATTTGGGTTTATTGTGTAGAAGGATTATGTCACCAAATAGTTTATAAGTAAACTTTACAAGAAAAGCAAAGTTGACATTTACATAATGATTCCAGGATCTCCCTTTTTAAAAAATTAATATTTATGTTGGCAGTGGTAGTAGAGTGGCAGAGTATTCCCACTACTAGAGTAAACATGAAGGATGCTTAATAAAGATAAGCTAGAGTTCTCCTTTACCCATGAACATGTCCAAAATAATTCTATAGTCCATGGCTCTTCAGAAGTAAGGCAACCATTTAGGCAATGAACTTTCCAACAAGTGAGTCTTTCAGAAAAGAAAGTGAATATACAGAAACACATAAATGATGTACCTTTACTAAGACATTACACACAGAGAGATATTGAGCTTTGACATTTTATACACACAGTAGACTCGTTTTTATGTTTCAGTATTAATATTCCTTCAGATGGTGGGAATAGAAGGGAAATCAGTCAGGGGGACAGTTAGTTCTTTTACTGTTTAAATAGGAAAATCTCAGGTGCTATAAATTGAGTATAGCTTTATAAAAGGAGTATAGCTTTTAGAAAGGCGAAGTTGATGGAAAGGACATACCTGAAAGTTGCGGCTCCTTTCCTGGGATCCACACCTAGCTGAGGTCATTTGCAAGACTAATCTGTGCGGGTTGGTGACTATAAGCTTTTAAGTCATTTTCAGCAGTATCATATAATAAGTGGATAAGCTGACCTAGATCCCCCTTTTATAAAACTGTTTGGTATTTCAGTACTTCTTGATATGTCTCTGGAGATGAGGCTCAGTCAGGTTAGCATGGCCGCAGACACGCTGCAGGCCAGCTGTCGGTAGTTGTGTCAAGTATGAGGAAAACAAGCGTTTGCCACCTTCTCTCCCTATATTAACCAACTCTTTGAAACTGTATACTGTGACATGGCATGTTTTAGACCTCAGTGAAGAGGAGAGACTTATTTGTTACTCTTACTTTAAACTTTGGTATTACTGGTTACTATGGTTATTAGATTTTTGAGCTTATAGTCCCATCTTGAAAAGTTTTTTAAAATATCCATCCATTAAATTTATCACATTGAAAAATTTTAGACCATTTCTTGTTCTTATTACAAAGAAAATAATTTATTCAAAAGTCTGTAGCATACAAGGGAATACAAGGTGGCTCTTTGTGTTGGATCCAATAGTTATTAATACATTTGCAAATAGTCAGATGAATTTGCTTCACCTTGGAACCCAGCCAAACAAAACTGCCTGCCTTGTACCTTGGAAAATAAATGGCACATGTTCACAGTGGGTCTTTTTGGGGGGTTTTCCTTTGAAAACATTTCCCCACTGCTCTTTAACCTATTAGGCTTACTGGCAGTTCAAAGGTGATGAGCATTTGTCTTGAGCACAACCATGATCCTTAGAATGTACAGGAGCTGGTATGGTCTAGTGGAGATTGGTGAGGGAGAGAGAGGATATGGTTATTTGTCTCTGGAGCAGACATCCAGGCATAAATTTCTCATAGTGTCATAAATGGGAGAAAAATAATTAAAGGCTAAATAGCCAAGAGAAGGAACTATGGATTCTTGCTTTTCCTTTCTATGGCTGGAGGTAATAGAAATGAATAATTTTCTGTAAAATTGGCTTTACTGTTACCATATTTAGGATCTTAAATATTTCAAATAATTCTTAAAGATATTAATTAATATCTTCATACATTTACATAATTTATTTTCCTGCTTTCAGGAGTTACTTAATAATATTTAGACTTAAGAAGAGAATTATATGCTCCTTAAATATAATTTTCCTTAGTTTTGAATATTTTTTAAAAATTAGGCTTTAGGGCTTATACTTACCACAATTATAACGTTTAAAAGCCAACTATAAACCTCCTGACAACTGCTAAATGAAATTCTTGATTAATTGTGGCAGCTCTCATACTGTTTTTGTTTGACAATCTCTTGAACCCTTCCAAATGAAAAAGAATCCATATAAGTAGCTTAAAGGTGAGGTGCTGTCTTTCACAATGGGCTTTATAAAGTCTGTTATTAAATATTTTGTTTCACAATGTAAATAAGCACCTATAACGCTGTCCACCTTCCTTTTTCTACTCTGGGTTTCCTATTTAAATAGGTGTGCAGTTACTGAGGATTTAGTTTGCTTCAGTGCATTGCTGAACACACCCAAGCACTGTGTGTGTGTGTTGAGGGAGGGAGGGGGTTGAGCATTAATTTACAGTCTGCCATTTGTAGCTGGTATGTTCAGGACACTAACATAGGCGTGTTTTGATTATCGCTAGAGGGGTAGATGAAGCGTATGGTTTCAAAAGTTCATCAGCAGACCCTGGCCAGTTTGGCTCAGCGGTTGGAGCCCTGGCCTGTGGTCAGTTCCCACTAAGGACATGTACCTCGGTTGCAATTTGTCCCCGCCCCTGGTTGGGTCGTGCAGGTGGCAACCACTCAGTGTGTCCCTTCACATCGATGTTTCTCTCCCCCCCCATTCTTTCTGAACAAAAAATGGAAAAATGTTTTTGGGTGAGGATAAAAAATTGAAATATGTTAAAAAAAAAAAAAAAGTTCATCAGCAGGACCATAGGTCCCAGTTATGTAACAACCCAAAGCCTCATTTTGAATTAGTCAGTCTTTAAATTGTGTCCTCTTGCAGAAATACCCTTAGAGCATCAGCAATTAACATACTTATTTAAAAGTAAGATTTAGAACATAATAATTAGCAGTTTAATCCAGCATGAGACCATGTTATCTTAAACTTATACAAGGCTTTTCTAGAGTTACTAGTCTGCTGTTTCTCAGGAAGCAACTTTAAAAGGTAACATATAAAATATAGTGATTAGTTAATAAATATTACTCAACTGTGATCCTCACTCCCACCCCCTACCCCAGCTCCTTAGACCTTTTAGGGATACTTGGAATTGAATAGTTAATTTATAATTGAATAATTGAATCAGAGCCTGTGCTGGGCCAAGAGTCTTTGTTAAATTTAAGTCAGCACTCTTTTTACTTATGTCAGCCATTTAACCCGACCACAGTCACATTTTCTAGCTAAAGGGAAAAAGAAAGGCTAGATATAGGCAATGTACTGGGAAAAAAGTAGTCCATGATTATTTTTCTTCCTTTGTTATTTTAAGATATCTGTAATAAAGTATTATTGTGGCAGAAAGCAACAAGACATATTTTGGTATAACAAATGTATTGGAATTTTCTCTTGGGTTTGTAGTTAATAATCACCCATACTAATTAGTAAATATCATATCCAGTGTTTTTCTAACTCCTTTAAATTAATCCATATTGTTGGCTACCCTCACCTGCTGCCCTCACTATTATTAACAGGAAGTGTAGTCTTTTGGGAGTCAGGACTCCAGTCTCCTCTGCTGACTCAGTCTGTGAGCATGGGTAAGTCTCAGAAGCTCTCTGTGTCACGGTATGCTTACTGTAATATCCATGTGGTAGCTTTCAGCCCATGTGTCTTTCTCTGGCTGCCCTCCCTCATTACATCACGTGTTCTTATATCTGATTGTCACTTTTGCCTTGTGCTAGTCATTGGGCAGCAGAAATAGAAAGAATGGAAGATAACTTCATCTCAGTTAACTGATAGCATTTTCCATAGATAGGAATTAGTAATGTCACTGCTTATACGTTCCTCACAGGTATATTATTAAACATACATGCCAGCTCGCTCAATTAGTCAGACATTCTCACATATTGAAAAGGAAAGAGAAATTGACTAAATTTGTGTTATCTTCAAACATAATGTATCTAATTTAGAATATGCCATACATGCCCTGGCTACTTTGGCTCAGCAGTTAGAGCATTGGCCCTTGAACTGAAAGGTTGCAGGTTAGACTTCCCAGTCAAGGGCACATATCTGAGTTGTAGGTTCAGTCCCCGGCCTTGGTCAGGATCCTTCGGGGGGGCAGCTAATTGAGGTGTATCTCTCGCATCGATGTTTCTCCCTCTCTCTCTCTGCTTCCCTCCCTCTTCTTCCTTCCCTCACTCCTATCCTCTGCTCCTCCCTTCCCCTTTATGTAAAAATCAATGGAAAAATATCCTCAGGTGAGGTTTAACCAAATATATATTTATATAGACAGAGACTATGCCATATCTTCCTATTCATGATTTTTAAAAGTTGGCAGGTATGTGTTAACATATTTATAATAGCATCAGATTATCAGTTAAAAGACAGTATTTTAGCTTTTTTTCCTTAAGCCCAAATTATTCATGGTTTTGGGTTTTTTTTTGGTCATTTATGTTGTTACTTTCATTAAGATAATGTTAATAGTTGGATGTCTGTTTTACCAACTTAAATTTTTGACATACGACCTCTCTGTTTAATAAGAATATAACAAGAAAAGCAAAAAGTCTGCTTCACAACTTGCAATTGGTTCTTCTAGGCTATGTTTAAGAACTAACAAATGTTAGAATTAGTCAGTACTCTGCAGATTTGAGATTTATAGCAACAAACTAGGAGATCCTCTTTGATAGAAGCCTTGATCCTGACAATAAGTTAAGAAGGGTATCAATTGGACTGCTTGATCTAATCACATCATGTATTATATAAAAGAAAAGTTTACCATATCAGAATATTCAGCTCTCCCTAAATATTAAAAAAAATTCAAGAGTAGAAATGGGGATGCTTTTTATTTTTCGAAAACATTTATTGAATGATCATTGTATCTGTTAACTTAAAAGTAATTCTTGCCCTGGCCAGTTTGGCTCAGCGGTTAGAGCGTCGGCCTGCGGTCCGGAGAGACCCAGGTTCGGTTCCTGCTAAGGGCACGTACTTCGGTTGCAGTTTGTCCCCGGCCCTGGTTGGTCGTGCGGGTGGCAGCCACTCGATGTGTCCCTTCACATCGATGTTTCTCTCTCTCTCCCCCTTCCTCTCTCTCCCTCCCACTCTATCTGTACAAAAAATGGAAAAATATCCTCGGGTGAGGATAAAAAAAAAAAAAAAGTAATTCTTAGTTTTTTAAGCCTCTAATACAATATTGGTAATGCAAAATGTAGTGTATTCTCATAAAGTTGCTTGACACATAGATATTTGAAAGTAATTCCCTCCTCTGTACACAGAAATAATTTAGAGATGATTCTTGCAGATAACTGAGAGGAAAACCCCATAGTTTTAAAGAAAGAGGGCTACAGAGTCCAGCCTAGAGCTTCTCCATTGCTCTGGTGTGTGGTGCCAGGCCACACAAAGCCTGCCGCATCTATAAATGGTGGTCACGTAGATGTATCTCAGGGGTTATTGGGGGATTAAATGAAATAAAGCGTTTATAGTAACCAGCATGTCATTAGTACACGTTACAGTCAGCATGCTTGATGTAAACCTGCCATGGGAAGGCGCGGTGGTCTCATCACCAGCTCGCGAGCCACCCTGTGCAAGTCTGGACCCTGGCCACAGCGTTACCAGTTATGTGAATTTACATAAGTTAGGTGTGTTTTCTTTGCCTCGATTCTTTATCTGCAAAACAGGGATCATACTAACGCCCACTTCTTAGGGTTGCCGTGAGGATTAAATGAGTTCATCTAAGTGAAGTATTTAGAACAGTGTAGGCATATAATTAGCACACTGTAACTTTTTTATTAGTATGTATATTTTGACAATGAAGCATTTCAATTCATACAGTGAATATAGTTTTTTAGGGTTCCACCATGGTGTTTTATAACTTCGTGTTTCTTTCAGTAATCCCAGCAATTTTTGCCCCTATTTTCACAAGTTGGTTTTTTTTTCCTTAAAGACGTCAGAGTGACATGCAATTTCTTAATGTCTCACTGTGTACCTTTATAACATTTGAAGAGCAACTTATCTGATGAGAGCTGAGAAGGCAAATGTAGTAGGCACTGATTTCCCATGAAGTTCGTCTTTCTTGTTGGTACTGCCAGTTCCCACAATCCTAGCATTCCCTGGGCATCAGTCAGTGTCTACAAGGAATGATTTTCAAATATTAAAGCATGTGAAAAGACAAACAGGCCAAAACTCAGAGCTCTCTGGGGACTATGACCTCCAAAACAGACTCCGTTCTGACATTTTCACAGGCTGCTTGAAGGAATTCCAGCAGGGTCATTCTATTTGGTAAACTCCTAAACAAACCCTCTGTCATCAAGGACTGATTTACAGATTTTTCTCCTTATGTACATGTTCTGAAGAGATTAAGATAGTAGATATGGTTTCTGAGACTCTTTTAAGGCATTTGATGTATACAATAAAAAACACAGAAGACTTTTGGTATTTTCAAGTAATAAAACAGTTATTTGTTAAGTTGAAAGAAATGTCTTGCTCTGTGTTGTCTTTTAAATTATTTTTCTTTTTGATTTCAAGAAATCTATGTTATAACTCTATCTCTAAGTTAAAATTTTTCATTATTAACCCAATTACTTAACAAAGAAATAGACTAAATTCAGAAACACTCTTTTACCAAACAAACATACATGAGAATATGGATATGATTACTTGTTTCACTATGACCTTTGGGACATGTGGAAACAAACAGTTCTAGTGTTGTAGGATAGTCTGAAATATTGGTGTGATGGCAGTTGTTTAGATTAAGCATTAAGGTTACTGTGGTGAGGGTAGATCTATACATTGTTTTTCAATTAATCTGAATCCTCTAAAAATATTTTACTGTGTATTATTTCTTTAGAAAAAAAAAAGAATACACTCCTAAAAATAAATGAGAAGGTCAGAACCCAAGAGATTGGGAGCCTGGACAACTTAAGGAAATGGGTAATTAGGACTTCCTTGGTTTATAGTTGGCCTTAAATGCCACAGTCTAATGTCTGTGAGTAGCATGTATGAAGTTCCAGAGGTGAATAGCATTCCTCATTTGAAAGGTCAGGTTTGTCAGGGAATTTTGTATGGTTTGTTTCCTTCTACGCATGTTTCTTTTCAATGAGTTAATCCTTTGGATGAATGTGCAAAGTTTTAGCTATTGAAAGAGTCCTTACACAATGAAGTATCTTATGATTTGATATCTTACTCTGTTGTAGGATTATAATACATTTTGAACACATTTAAAAATGGGACACAGTCAAGTAAATTGATACCTGATCTCAGTCAAACCTTTCAAAATCAGTAGTAAAAATAAAACTTGTTTTATTATATATATTCTAATAACTTTTCAGAAATCTGGTATATTTCATTGTCTCTTAGTAAAATAAAATGGAAACAAATGTAAAATAATCTATGACAAATAGCTATTGAATATATTAAAGATTGTGTGGCTCTTGATGTATAAAATATATATGATGAAATATATATATATATATATATGTTACTATTTTCTCAGGCCGAGAATAACAGTGCTTTCTCATATTGAGAGCATATCTAGTTAAAAATGTAGATATGCTCTCAATATGAGAAAGCATTACTTTTCTAACATAGATTTTTCTCTCTCTTGCTATCTATTACTATTAACTAGTCTCTTCACTTTTCAAATAAATGGAATCTGGTTAAATGACAACTAGCTGATAACTAATGAAATCTCTGGTTGTATAAATGTGTGCTTGTTTCTTTGTGCATAGAAGTAGAGTAGCTGCTTGATTGATTGCTGAATGCTTTCTGAACACTCAACAGAAACAGAATGCTTACACTTTCAAAAAGTTTAAGATTTTATTTGGATACCCAAATGTTATAAATTTGGAGAATTTTCCAGATAGAGGAATTTAAACTTAACACTAATCAGATCAAGTTAGGACTGAACAAATTGAAATGTAAAGAAATCCAAGCCCTGGCCAGGTAATTCAGTTGGTTAGAGCATTGTCCCATGCACCAGAGTTTCAGGTTTGATCCCGGGTCAGGGCACAAAGAATCAACCAGTGAATGAGTAAATAAGTGGAACAACAAATCTCTCTCTCTCTCTCTCTCTCTCCCCCTCCCCCTCCCTCTCCTTATCTCTCCTTTCCTCTCTCCCATTTCCTCTCTTCAAATCAATAGATTAGCCCTGGCCGGTTTGGCTCAGCGGTTAGAGCGTCTCCCGCTAAGGGCGCGTACCTCGGTTGCAGTTTGTCCCCAGCCCTGGTTGGTTGTGCCGTGGCAGCCACTCGATGTGTTCCTTTCACGTCGATGTTTCTCTCTCTCTCTCTCTCTCTCTCTCTCTCTCTGTTCCCCTCTCTCTCCCTCCCATTCTACCTGAACAAAAAATGGAAAAATGTCCTCCGGTGAGGATTAAAAAAAAAAAATCAATAGATTAAAAAAATTTTTTTTAATCCAAGAATTTAGTTTTAAACTTTGAATTTTGGAGTCCAGTGGTTTTAGACAGTACAATTGGCCCTTGAACAACACAAGTTTGAGCTGTGTGGGTCCACTATATGTGGATTTTTTTTTCCCCAATAAATATGTAGTTGGCTCTGTGTGTCCCCAGGTTTAGCATTATGGATTCAACCAGTTGTGGATTGAA